AGCTCCAGAAAAGACACTCAACATAGGCTATGGCAGTCCCTATGGGTACTGACATTCGGGTGCTATGAAGGAACGGAACTGACGGAGACATTGTACACATGCACTACAACGCAATGTTGGGGACAACTTCTTTGAGACATACAGTCAGTGCTCTAAAAAAGTTTGACCAAAGATTGTGTGTATAATGTGTTTGTCTCTCACGAATCACACCAAATACATCATAAACTCATCCTCTCTTTCCTTCTCAAGTTTACAGCACTGGGAGTGTGTCCTGTGCTCTATGAGTGTGTGTTTGTGTACGAAAACAGGGAGAGGAAAAAACTTATGAATGAAGAAGAGATTTAAGTTTCTATATATTTATACCATTAATATTATATGAATCAATTGATACGTATCGACCATAAAAAGCCGTACTTTTTTAGGTGTGGTTACACTTCTCTCTCTCTCTCTCTCTCTCTCTCTCTCTCTCACACACACACACACACACACATATATATATATATATATATATATATATAAACATTTTACAAGTTAGTCCAAATAGGGCGACCAGTTGTTGAGGATATTGGATTTTAGCAAATACAACATTTTAAGTAATATACTTGTGATGTATACAAATAACAAATTAATTGGCTACTAATATATCAAAATTATTCACTTTTTTGTTATAAATATTTAATTTTAATTTTACATTTAATTTATTATAATATTATATTGTTCTATCATATATACGGTATTTTATATTTAAAGTATATTTGTGTCACCATTTGGTCACCCTGGATCAAACTATTGAATGGGAACAATCAATTGAATGTACAATACTATACTATTATACCTGTAGTAATAGTAGAGTAGAAGCAAAATGTGAATCAAGTTTTAATTTTTTCTGATATTTCTTATGAGAAAACAGGTGAAAAAGTAGACGAGATTTTTTAGTGAGCAAACCTTAAAACCCTTAAAACTAAAAATATTATTACATTCACTCAGTCATGGGATACACTGTATTATAATATATAAAAACAAATTTGTATCTTTGCATAACATCTTGTATTATGTGTTTTCATTTATATAAAGAAAAAATCTTAATTTTTTGGAAAAATATAAGAAATTTATTTTAAAGGTCTGTGAGAAGGTTTGGAAACTATATTTATAATATTGAATGTATTTTACTTTACAAATGATTTTTTTTAGATTACAAGTATGACTTAAATTTCAGTACTAAGTTATAATAAAATATCTTATAAGACATACAGTTGTACAGTAACAACATATACAGTAAATGATATATAAGTTTTGAAATAAAAAGACAATATTTATAAATAATTTCAATAAAATATATTTATAGTAATCTCAAGTTAAAGATATTCATGTATTTTTGTTAAATTATATGTATATTTTATATCTATATTTAAATATATAAAAAGTTGGGGTCTTGTAGTTGCAGTCAAAAAACATATACAGTAGTGATATTCGCTCATTCATTACACCAGATTTACTATACTTTTTAATAGCATTTCCTTTGGGAGAAACTTTAAAGTAGAAAATATGAGTTCATCTTTTGATGTTTCAATAGTAGTGTAGAAATAAATGTGATGTACTTTAAAAATTACTGCTAAAAAACTTGTGGCAATGAAATACCAGAAACTACTATCACTTGTATTAAATAAAATATTGCATTAGTTTGTAATAGCGATACTTCAAGTGAGGGGGAAAACACTGTGAGTTCAAAATTAGAGGCAAAACATGTGAAATGGTTGTGCAATAGTCATCACGGATATTACTCTCTCTCTCTCTCTCTCTCTCTCTCTCTCTCTCTCAAGAGAAATATATATAGAAAATAAAACTAAAAAAGCATTTCATTCCATGAATTTAGTTGTATATATCAACAAATTTTTAAATACTAAACATATGTTGTATTCCTAAAGATATGTATAGTAAGTGAATGAATAAAAATAAATTTAACGACTGACCGAAATTTATGTATACTTTTTGAATATTAGTTTTTTTAGACTCAATATTATATAGTATACTACTATAGAATGTATATAATTTATAGATAACATATTTGCCACATTCTGGTCTCCAATGATATTAAATTAACAGAAAATTACTGAAAACAATTATTATTGCTATTTTACACATTAGTGCTATTATGATAAAAATCAATAAACAATATGAAAACCCCCCACTTTTACTAACAATATAGTATTTTACAGTATAAGCTATTTTTATAATCATTATGACAATTTATAACTTATTTTTTTGTGTGACTTCAAAAAAAAATAATAAACTGCATTACTTGTATTATGTATAATATCTACAATTGTATAATAATAAATGATATCTATTGACAATAAATTATATGTATATTTATAATATATTTGATATTTTAAAATGAAAACTGTTTTCCATTAGCTCAACATTTACACAATATTTTTTGTTCACTAAAGTAGTGTCTATTCTACCGGTGCTCTTGTAATATAAAAAGCAGAACTGAGATGTGATGTGAGTGAGAGATCTGTGCCTTTTAGATGTGTGTGTGAGAGACCTAACCCAAGAATAGGGACAATATATATATAACTATACTTTACTATACCTTCTTAGTCTTGACATCTGCTCAGGCATTGAGCAGAAAAGTCCTTTCCTGTGGTGTTGTCAATGCCGTGAACACAACATATGAGTTGGAGACACACCATATGAAAGGACAGGACTTTGTTGTGTCGAGAAAGACATTGAATACACAACTTTGTCTCCGATAATATAAATCATCTTTTAATGGCTAATAAAAAGTGCGTTCAAAAGTTCAACTGACAAATAGAGTGACCATTACATACATAAGGATGAGAAATGGCAACACATATTCATCTTATATATACTGTATATACACTGTATATATGACATTGAAAACTTAAAACATATATTATGCTAAATATGTTATAATTGAATGTCATTGTTGTTGTTGTTTGACACTAACAACAATGTTAACATTTGCACTAAAAAATAAACTGTTTTATTATATGAATTAATATTTAATATCAATAGATATAATTTTATATTAAAAATATCCATAAAACATATATAAATTATACAGTTATTTGTTACCTTTATATTAAAACACCAATTTTATTAAACTTATAAAGAATTTGCTATTAATATGCATTTACTATAAGTATATATGAAAACCTATATTTATACTCTAATAAAAATAATTGATATTGCGTGAAACCATCATGCCTTATATAAAATTTATATATTAAAATTATAACATATTGTATATAATTATTAATTATCGTTCAAAACAATTGAAAATACGGTAAAACTTTAATAATACACAAAACGTAAATATAATGAAAATTAATAAGTTTTGTGGACTTTGTGTTCTCTATTTTGTCTCCACTAATAACAATAGATCCACTCGAAGATGTCAGATGTGGTGCCAATTAGGTATAAGTAAAGTGTTAAATGCAAACATTTATAGCTAAAACACATGTTTGGCCTCAAACTCAATCAACTTATCATAAACACACACAACCATCAACATCACTAAGCATAACAAATATCTATTTATTATTATAGCAAAGATATAGCAATAATTATTTAATTAATTATTACACAAATTAAAAATTATTATTTTTTAATATACTATATATATATATATATACTGTATTAATATATAAAATATAAATTATATATTTTTATAATACAGTTAGTGTTGGCAAAAAAGAGAAATTTATAAAATAATTGAGAAATTTCTAGAAAGTTTCTAAAAGATATTTCTATCTATGGGATCCCCATGGCTAATTTTGTTTTTCTCGATATATGTTATTATGTAACAATACATTGTTTTTACAAGTAATAATTAAATATTAGTATTAATATTTTAATTATTAATTAAAGTAACAATTCTATAGAAATTTATTCCTGAGAAATTTTCTAGAAACTTTCTCAGGGAAATTTATTAGAAACTTTCTATTTGCCCATCTCTAAATACAGTATATAAAATTACATAGATATATAGTAAATATTATTGTTATCATTAGTAAACATAATACTTAGTTTTTTCAGATCAATTGTATTATTAAAAATATTTGAGTTTTTAATAGTATTTTTTCATAATTTAAATGTCTAAATATCTAAATTAGTAAAGTTTTAATAAATTCAAATAACATTGTAGAAACATTTCATATAACACTACAACATTATATATAAAATTTTAATACAAAAAGAAATGTATGAAAAATTCTAATGACTTTATGTTAATTTTAATTATTTTTCAATATAAATGAAGAAATAATAGAAATGTTGATAAAATCAATGTCAAAATCAAATCAAAATACTTGCAATTAATGAGATTATATTTCTTTGTTTAATAAAAAGAGTTTTTTTTATAACATAATTGAATGCTTGAGCCGTACGCGTGACCGACACCTGTTTGACTCATTATATAGTTTTTCGTGAAATAAACCTCTTTTTTGGATAATGACTACAGTATAGTAAAATACATTATGATTTATCAACATATTGTATTCATTTGTATATATATATTGTAGGAGAGATGTAATCCATAATTGAATATATACTATAATATTGTATAATCATTATTATGTTTAGATATGTAATCAATTCATGAGTGACAATACTATTACATAACATTTTTATTACTAAATACAAATTAATGTCAATAGAGATTTAAGTCATAAAAACGATATTTTTAGATAAATAGCAGTTAATGAATGAGTGAAATAATAAAAAACTATTAACTTTATGAGTAAAATAAATAAAGTATTTGTATGACTACTTAAGTATCAAACTGGTAATGGACTCAATGACTGACTGACTGAGTGACTGGTAATTAGTTTTAGTGCCGGTGTTTGACTCGTCATAAACTATGCTTAAATAAGAAGAAATTTTGACATTTGATTATTGCCAAAGACTTTAACATATAGTATAGACTAAAATAATTTTATATTTTTAAAGATATATAATAAAGTCTTATTAACCATAAGGTGCCGGTGCCCTGAAGGTCATGTCCAGTGTATGAGACTAATAAAGTACAGTATATTGATTGTACTCTCCATAAGTTACCAAACTATGGGTATAAATATATGGGATAGGTTTATGGGCCCATTCCTCTAAAAGCCTCTTAGTGTATCATAGTTTGTCCTTGACATTATAGACTTGGACGATCCCCAATGAGCACAGGGAACCCTATTATCTAAAAAACACCACACATTTAAAAAGATTTATACATACTATATGTATTGATTGATATGTATTAGAAAGCAGACATATATTTATTTTAATAGTTAATTTTATTATTATATTTTTAATAATTACATTTTTTTGTAAATCATTCAAAAAATAATTCACTATATTATTACAATTTGTACACATTCTCTACAAAATATCATTACATATATACTGTATATTTAATATATTATTTATTGTTTCTACAAAACTAACAATTAATTTCATTTATAATTTTTAAAATTATAGTATTTAAATTAATACTTAGATTATATGATATAAAAGATAAATACCCTTTTCTGATGTTTGTTTGCACACAAATATTTACAATATTTTAATTATTGCAAATGATATAATTCTAATACTAAAAAAACAATATCAATACATTATATAAGCGTTTTTACTGAAGCGAGTGTTTGCATATCAAACAACACGTAAATAATAGATTGCAATAAATGATAGCAATTTTGAATATTCATGTCATAAATCAATGACTTTATAAATAACGGACGGAAATCAGTGTCTCGCTAGTCGTCAGTTACCAATAAAGGCACACATTTTGCACACAAATTATTAGCAAAAAAAACTTTAGTTTTTTATAACACCAGCTTTTATTTTACCGGCTATTATATGACAGATTAACGCAACACATGACAGAACACAAGCACTGATACATTTGATTTGATTTAACTGTTTGCTCGTGTGTTATACTCTCTCTCTCTCTCTCTCTCTCTCTCTCTCTCTCTCTCTCTCTCTCTCTCTCTGAGTTATCTATCCTTTCTAAGCGTATCACACCTGCACTAGTAGATAATGAATTACATATACGATATATATATATAGTAAAAACTCCATGTATATTAAAATAAGCAACAGAGCACCGGGCGATATTGTATATACTCGTACACACACACACACACATACAAACACAGATAAAGTATAAATATATAATATACACAATGTATATTACGCACCGGGCTCATAACTGTGTACTTTTTTAGGTATCATAAAAAGTTACCCAATTGTTGGCCAGATTTTCAAAACAAAAAAAGCACACCTTTTGCACGAGATTTGTCTGTATCACAACATACAGGCGCTGCTCGTGTTAGGCATGACTGTAAAATGTATAAATATACTGATCAATTGTACCGAAATTTTTTATTTATAGATATTGGTTCAAAGATCAAGGATTAATTATATATTTACTAAAGTGTAGAATAATATTGATTATTAATATTTTCCTAATATATATTATTTTTGTAAATACAGTTGTTTTTTGGTAACTTATTTTGAGAAATATTGCAAATTGATTTTAATAAAATTTACCTATAAATATTATTTTAATTTGACATAAATGATTTATTCATTATGAAAATAATTATTTATTTGTAAAACTTAAGGTAAACCACAAACTAAATATATACTAAACATAAAACTCAATAAAATTACAAATGAAATTTCTTTTGTAAATAATATTATATTATTATATCATATACTGTATTATTAATATTAATATCATATACTRTATTATTAATATTAAATCTGTATTTCATATTATAATCATAACATTATATCATAACTTATGATTTGACATAAGATTTTAAGCAAATTTTCAAAACGTTTTAAAATAATGTATGCATTTTTAAATAGAGTAACATATCGGTCGACTATTACTAAGAAAAACAGTTCTAACAAATAAATACCATCTGTTTTCTTATAATTTTATATTTCAAATACTAACCTCTCTTTACTTTTACTCTATATTGTTGTTATTGTTGTGATTATTATTATTATTATTATTATGACTACCATTTACTTTGTGGTATTAAGAAATATTGTTAGTTTTCGTAACTTATCTTAAGAGGTAAGCAAACGATATCAAAATGATTACAACACAAAATCAATACAATGTCAATAAATGTTGACTTTTTAATATACATTAAGAATTAATAATACCATTTATTAAATACTTATACCGGGTGTTAATACAGTATATATTTATGTTTATGATTGTGGGTCTAAACACAATATATAACTAAACATTTTAAAAGTATGAAAATATTGACGATCTCTCTCTCTCTCTCTCTCTCTCTCATCACTAATATCTTAAATGTATGGCAACTAAAAACCAAAGAGGCAGTGAACCAGGTGTTTGAGGCACAAGCAAAGGAATATGTTAGAAATCACGTCCTGTGCTAAGGTTTAAGTGGTTATGACTGGTCTATGCTGTTGTAGTAGATGTTGGGGAAGCATAGAGTAACTGATTGACTGCCTGTGCAGCAGCTGCTGCTGCCCCGTCCTAACCAATGTCTATCTTCATCAGACATATATCATCAGGCATTAGATTTAGAAGATGTTATGTATGACTCCAAATGAAATATAATAACATTAGAGATAAAGATGAAGAAAAAGGTAACTGAGTTCAGAAGCTTACAGCTCACAATCCATGAGCTCAATACTAATGAAGAAAAACAACAAATATTAGTTCAATTAAAGCAAATCTCAATTAAATTAGTACCGGTTTGTTATTGCTTTCCCATAAAATCTGCTTTTATATACAGTATTTATATCTATTTATCAGACATACAGTAGAGCACAGACACTAATAAAATTAGAGCACGAATTTTGGGTAAATTTATATATGTATATATTATATAGTATCAAGGTTATTTTAATCATTATTATAAGTCCAATGCGGTTTAAGATCCCTGCTATGGTCTGGCAATCATGTTTTGGGAACCGATAGCTAGGACTCAGCAAAAAAGACACGAATCAACAGTTAGTTGTCTAATCCGTCTAATAATCTAATAGTTTTATCACAAAATTAAAGGTATTTTTCTACATTTATTATATTTGATATATTTTGGTAGTGACTATATCTCATTTACAAACCACATGTTTCCTATTAATGCTTCCTTGTTTTTGTATTATAGTATGGATTTTTAGGTATTATTCCGTGATCTGTATAGCACTGGTAGCTTATACTTGTATTGACAGTATTGATAAGTATTCTGGATATGTATGTATTGTATTAATGTTTGGCAATTTTAATGAGTGGATACTAATGGTTATAGTTATTTGAAATATACAATCCATCAAATAATTAGTCACTTCGTTTAAACAAATTTTATAATACAATAATAATAATAAAGTAATATTATTTTGTTAATCTTTTGCACACTAAACACCAGCACCGGAATGTATGCACCAATAAATCGTATGACAGTTTCCAATCATTAGAAATACATTATCGTATATTTATAGGTATTTGTCAATACATTCCAAACTTAATATATTTACGACATTGTCTGACAACAAAAACGGAAATAATTAAATTTATATTTTTATAGATAGACAGTAAACTTCAATATAATATTATATACTGTATACAGTATACAGTATAAATTATACTGTATAATAGAAATTTTAATATTAAACTTTAATTTAATAAATATAAACTTATTTAATATAACTAAAAATCAACATATTTAGAGTACACAAAATATTTTTGAAAAAGTAAATCAGAATAAATTAATAAAATTTTAAAAATATATTTAATTTATTTTTAATAATAAAATAGATTATATTTGAATGCTTAGTAAAAATACAAATAAAAATTGAAGAAATACTTTAATAATGAATTGCATTGTTGTTTGTATTAAATTATTTTCTGATTACTAAAAATAGATATAATTAGGTTGATATAATGTAGTGTTATTATATGATAGATAAGAAATACAGTATAACAACATTAAAATAATACAAATAACATATACTATTAATATCATTGAACAGATGACACTTTCACATAATTATTGACTTGAAAATTAATCGATAATAATTGTTTAGGGAAATTATATTATTTAAAATATAGTACTTAACTGAAGTTTATATTTAACTGAGTTACATAAAATTTATATAAAGCAAAAATTATTAAAAATTTAAATTCATTATAATTATACAGGTAATCACTAATCATATACCAATTAGAATACAAACGAAATAGTGGAAATAATTATATCTATATAGTTATAATAATTACAAATTTTAAAATTTACAAATAAAACAAATTATAAAAATAAAATTTGTTATTTAGATATAGTTAATTTTATTTATATGTGCAAAATATATACAGTATCTAAAGTCTAGTCTCCCAAGTAATTGTGAGATATGGCATACATATAAATACTATATACTTTACTTTACTATATATAAATTACATATACAGTATTGATTTTATTACTACTAAAAATAATATATTTTTATGTCGCGACCTATGCTGTATATATATTAAAAAAATTATAAACGGTTTAGATGTAAGGTATATAATATATATAAAAACAGGGAATTGAATGTCAAAAATAAGGCAAAAATATTAGGAGAAAGAAAATAGAGAGAGAAAGATGAAGGAATAGATGTGAAACACAATTGGGTTTTATTTAAACGAAAACCTTGAGACACAACACAATCATCAATTGGTTTGGCTATTGAGTGACTGAAAGATACAGGAGAGGGAAGTAAGGGTAAGGACCTGACGGGACCTGTATTTAAATAAGTGTGAGTATAATATAAAAGAATATACAATCGCCTCATGTGTTTGTCTTAGATATAGTTTGGTACAACTTTTTATTGAGAGAGAGAGAGAGAGAGAGAGAGAGAGAGAGAGAGAGAGAGAGAGAGACCAAGCGTTTGAGTAAATGCTCGCACAGATAGACAACAGTCACCACCAGTCGTATACAATCACAAAACTCTAACATCTGTTCCCTACACCTAAAGGACTTCTAAAGTATATTACTTTTTGCGATAGTATTATAACGTGAGGGCACGTGGAGAACACGCGTCGTCTTAGGATGTATTGTGTTGTGTGTCTGTGCTCTCAAAGCATATGATAATAAGCGACATAAGCAGCTGCAACACACACACACACACACTGCCTGT